GGCCACTCCTCCCTCCCCCTCCCGCTCTCCGTGTCATCTCGTCACGTGTCCCCTCGACTCGGCTCAGCCTCGTGATTCTCAATCTCGGCCGCACGTGGAGCCTCCGGGGGAGAATTTCTGGAAGCTCCCACTGCCCAGACCGGCCCGGCTGCCTTGACTGTGAGAGCAGCACGGGTCTGCAGGCCCGGGTTCCAGAGTCCCTGAGGATTCCAAGATGGGGACAGCGAGCCTCACCGTGCAGAGGCCCTTGTGTGGGGGCCCAGCACCTGCGGGATCCTGTGCCCACAGGGAGCCCTGTGCCCGGGCACGGCCAAGGCCACTCAGACTCAATTAGCCTTGGGGTGAGGGGGGACCCTGGGGTCCTCATTTTATGGCTGAGGAAACTGCAGCCCGCAGAGGGGAAGTGACCCCTCAAGGTCACACAGCAGCCAGCCCACGTGCCCTGACTCCATGCCCTTGTCTGGGGGCGTGGGAACCTGACCTGAGAAATGGGATTGGGGGAGTTCTCACGGGAGGCCCTCAGGCCCGTGAAGAAAACTCTCCTCTTGTTTACAGCCGAGTGCATCCCTGCCGCAGGGCTCGCTGCTTTGTTTATTTTAACCGAGAAGGGCAGTTAGTGGCCAAAGGCTATTCTGATGATGAGTGGAAAGTTAGTCATGACAGTTCTGAGGGGAAAGGACAAATAAACTTTTTAAAAATGGCTCAATGGACGACAAAGAGGCCCACTCAGCTCCATAGCTGGGAGAGAGTTTAGGGGTGCTGGGTGCCTCCTGGGGTGCCTGCCCTCCCAGGCCGGTAGCGTGAGCCTGGGGGGCAGGGGGCTTCAGGGTGCGTCTCTATATGTGTGTGTATGTCTGTGTGAGTGTGTATGTCTGTGTGAGTGTGTGCGTATGTCTGTGTGAGTGTATGTCTGTGAGTGTGTGTCTCTGTGTGCGTGTGTCTCTGTGTGTATGTCTGTGTGTGCATGTCTGAGCGTGAGTCTGTGTGTATATGTCTGCGTGAGTGTGTATGTCTGCGTGAATGTGTGTATGTGAGTTTGAGTATGTCTGTGTGTGTGTGTGTGTGAGTGTGTATGTGTGTGTGAGTGTGTATGTCTGTGCGTGAGTGTGAGTGTGTGTGTGTGTGAGTGTGTATGTCTGCATGAATGTGTGTATGTATGTGTGTATGTGAGTGTATGTCTGTGTGTGAGTGTGAGTGTGTATGTGTGTGTGAGTGTGTATGTCTCTGCGTGAGTGTATGTGTGTGAGAGTATGTGTGTGTGTGTGAGTGAGTGTGTATGTCTGTGCGTGAGGGTATGTGTGTGAGTGTATGTGTGTGAGTGTATGTGTGTGTGTGTGAGTGAGTGTGTGCGTGCGACCTCCTAAAGCCCTTCTCATCAGTGGAAAGGTTTCTCAGTATCAGCAAACGGACCTCAGAACTGCAGGGAGCACAGCGGCATCTCCTTCAGAACAACCTGGGATATCGGGTGTCGCGTGGAGCCGGTAACTTTCCACTGTGGGCGGCGGCCACGCTCTCCTCCGGCGGCGCCCGCCCAGCAGCGGACCTGGTTCAGCATTTCTTTCCACTGCGGGCCGAGGCCAGGGCGTCGTTCGCCGGGTGGGTGGCGCAGTGGGCTGGGCTGGGCTGGGGGCGGGAAGGCTGTCCACCGGGAAGGGCTTG